CATGAGTGAGTTGACCGATATATATAGAATGGTTGAGTAGTAATAGTCCTCTTTGTGCGCTATTGGTTAGTCAATCCCCTGGAAATCAGGGCAATCAATGCTGGCAGGATGCCTACTTTGCACAAGGAAAGTTCACCTGTTCAGTCAATCCCCTGGTAATCAGGGCAATCAATGCTGGCAGGATGCCACTTTACACAAGTTCTGATGGAGACTCAGTTGTTTGATGTAAAAAAGGGACGCTGGACCCCATTTCCAGCAGGTGCGGCTCCCCACCAATAGACTGGAGCATCCAGGAAGACTGCTAGCGGGTGGCGCTCCTATCACCCTCCCTAGCAGCCGGACTGGTTTTCTTTATTAAAAAAAAAAGAAAAGAAAGGTTTTCCGTGGCGCCTGTTGGTTTTGTCGGACGTGTAAGGCTGACCACTGGGTGTTGTGGACTGAACGGCGGTGTGCTTAACGTGCTACCTGAATCAATCATTCTTCTTGCACCTGTGTTTGTGTGTAATCATGTGATGTGTTGTAATCATGTCATGATCTTGCCTTGAGATGTTTTGCAAACTACCTATGGTAGTTGGGCCTCGTGGTGAGCTCACCAAGGACCTGTTTTCCCTCCTTTCAACGTCATCTGGCGACTTGAGACCCCGCAAAACTTCCAAGTTCTTTGGGTGGTGGTGCCTCGCACTGAGCTAGACGTCTGAACGGTCTGTGCAAACCTGAGCCTCCCAAAGAGGGGGGGGGATGTAAAACACTGAGCCTGGAGCCCCTTCGTTGCCACACAGTATTAGATTTGGCACTCTCAACGACTGCTAAAATTCTGAAAAAGTTTGAAAAGCTTCAAAAAGTGCTCTTTTGTTTCTTTTTTTTTTTTGGTCATCCTTGCGCAGGGGCATGCTAATCTTCTCTGTATCATTCCAATTTTAACGGATGTCCCGAAGGACAAAAAAGTGCTTTTCCACTTCTTGTCAAAAAGAATTGTTATCCAAAGCCGCCATGCTCTCGCGCTCAACATAGTTCCAAGCACCAAAACATTTTGTTTGGAACTACCGGGCAGCTCTGTTTGACTATATATACCACGACTTCGCTAGCACCCTGCTACGGTATTCTCCGGTCAGGTCGAGTGACAGTGGTCGGGGGCGTCACTACGCGCCCATGCTCTGCCTCTAATGCCAGCGGCGTGTCTGGAGTGTATTTTTTGGCTGTGACAGACCTTTCTTTGTTTCGTGGGTGTTTTGCTTGCTTGTGCTGGGGTGTGAACCGACAGTCTGTAGAGTTTTCCATCTGGTGTGGGTGAGTGATAGTCTGCTTTGACTTTTCCCACTGGTACCTTGAGGGCAGTGGTTGGTGCCCACCTCAGGGTATCAGTTGTCGGGCAGTCGTTGATGCTTAACCACAGCCGGGGTTAAGGTGGTTTATCACTTACAGTGTAATCAGTTAGGGGATTCTGCAGACTGTTGAGGGTTCAGCCTCCGGAGGAGTCGGTGAAACTCCGCCGAAACAGCTTGCCACAGCCCCTCGTTTGTTGTCCTCTTCTCCCTCTCTGCCTACGGTTTACCGGGCAGCTCTGTTTGACTTTATATATACTGTCACACTGTGAATCAGAGCGCAGAAGTGAAAAAAAGGAAGAAGAAAATAAGAGAAAAGAAAAAAGGGGGAGAAGAAGAGGTAAGGAAAGCTCCACCTGTTCATAACCTCTTACGTACAAGGCCAGCCACGTGGATGACAGGTTGAGCGCTGGCTTCCCCCATCCCCGTGTGTCATAAAGACCCACTTGCACGCAGCCAAAAGGCAAAGAGGTAAAGAAAAGGCGGAGGAAACCAAACCTCACAGAAGAAGAAAGCCTATTAARCAGACGAAGCAAGTACACATCCCACAGATAATCCAATTACCATCCCACAGAACATATTTTTCTTTTTTCTTTTTTCTTTTTTCTCAGGTTTCTTTTTTTGTGTTTTTCTTTCCTTGGTTTCTTTTTTTAGCTTTTTACTCGGTTTCTTTTTTTATCTGTTTCTTCTACACTTCATCTGTCACCCCCTCGGCAGATAGGACAACTACGGTGAGGATGACGGGGATGTTCACAGGGATACCCAAGGAGAGTTGCGTTAGTGCAGCATTCAGCCGGACGGCTAGCACAAACCATCCCATCGAAACAATCCCGACATAGGACATGTTGCCCACATGTCAAGAAAACAGCAGGACGTTCGTCACAGTGCGGCATCATGCAGTTCTGATAGCATCCTTGGGAACAGAAGGACGACGTACATCTGGGTGATAGGGATGTGCACAATGAGGAAATGTTAGACACCCTTCTGCACATACGGCGTCAGTCGCAGTGGATTGATAATGGTGCTGACACAGATAATGCACTCCACAACCAAGACGCACCACGTCTCTATCCCGACAAATGTCGCACGAGAGACGCTCAACAATCCAGAACAGTGTATGATTTGACAAACCTCGCAAGAATTCATTTATGTTGACAATAACCTGAATCACCGTCCCACCATCCCACAGTTCCCACTGGGCAGCTGCACAAAAGAGGGCCATATAGTGCCCGGGTTTGTGAAAAATGCATGCAAGACTTTATATATATATCGTCACAAACAGAACTGCCCGGTAAACCGTAGGCAGAGAGAGAGAAGAGGACAACAAACGAGGGGCTGTGACAAACTATATATATATATAGTCAAACAGAGCTGCCCGGTAAGTGAAACTCCGACGAAACAGTTTGCCACAGCCCCTCGTTTGTTGTCCTCTTCTCCCTCTCTGCCTACGCTTTACCGGGCAGCTCTGTTTGACTATGCCACAGCCCCTCGTTTGTTGTCCTCTTCTTCTCCCTCTCTGCCTACGGTTTACCGGGCAGCTCTGTTTGACTATATATATATAGTCAAACAGAGCTGCCCGGTAAAGCGTAGGCAGAGAGGGAGAAGAGGACAACAAACGAGGGGCTGTGGCAAACTGTTTCGTCGGAGTTTCACCGACTCAATTTGCTATGTTACCAAAGTCGCCCGGCCCAGGCCGCCCGGTCGGGCGACTTGGGTGACCCGGGCAAACTTGCACGGGGGGTGACCCGCCTGGGGAACCCCGGTGACACGGAAAAGGGGGGTCAATTTTTAAATTTTTTTTTTTTTGGCAGGGGGACAATTTTTTGCCCACTGAGATGTGGCCAAATCCAGCCTTATCTTTGAGTTTGGTGATATCTCACCAAAGGGTGTCTATGGGGTATAAGGGGGATTCAAAAGGGGTCGAAGGGGCTTAAAGGGAGCTAAAGGGGTATGATATAATTTAGTATTTTATTCTTCTTTTTTTTTTTTGGATTGCATAGCGATTTTTTTATTTTATTTTTGGATTCCATAGCGATTTTTTTTATAATTTATTGTTATTATTATTTTTTTTTTAAGCCCAGGTTGTTGTAGAGGTGGGTACTAGACGGATGGCAGTCATCCATAGCGAATTTTGTGGCCACCCTCAGGCAAAAGATGTTTGGTTTGCAATTCTGCATGACAGTTTTTTTTTCAGTTTTTTTTTTTTGCTCGGGGACTTCCCGGGACCTTGACCGGGACTTCCCGGACCTGGCCTGGCCGGGCCACCCGGTCGGCAATTCTTTTTTTGCTTGGCCTATAACTTTCCCGTCTGCTTCTTTCTTTGCCCACCTCCCTCCCTGCTACACTCACTGGTTGCACGCACGTTAAAACTTTCAAAATCATGAAAAAATCAATCTTTTTTCCCTCTTTGACTGTCTGCTTCTTGGTGCGGGCCCACTGTGAACTCACTCGATTCGCATCCATTCATGTATGTGACCTTTCAGGGCATTCACTCCTCTCAACTGCCACGTGTCATTCAATTAAATCTATTTCACAGGCTTCGGGAAAAAAGAAAAGTAAAAAAAAGAACACTCTGGTTCATTCGTAAACCATCATCCAAGCCTTCTTCATTCAACAATTACAACATCCCCTATTTAAAAAAAAAAAAAAAAAAAAAAAAAAAAAAAAAAAAAAAAAAAAAAACATCCATGATTTGCGTTTAAGACCAGGTGCTCCATTCATTTCTCTCCCCTCATCCTGTCAATTGGGTTCAATTGTGATTCCGTCGCTCAGTCAGACCATTTCATGCATTCGTGAATACAGTGCACTCTCCCTCCCTCCCTCCCTCCCCCCCACCCTCCCTCCCTCCAATCCGTCCATCCATTTATATCCATACACAATTCACTCACTACTTATTCATCAACCCACTCCTTTCATTCACATCATTCAGTCATCAATCAGGAAGACACCTCATAAATTCATACATACCATGAATACGTATATATACATGTATATATCAGCCTCCTGATGAGTCGGCGGGACTGCAAGGAAACGGTCTTTCACAGCCGCTCGTTTGCCGTCCTCTTCTCCCTCTCTGACTACGGTTCACCGGACAATTCTCTATGACGACAAAGAAATATACCGATGATACACATTTATATGTAAATCTATACATATATTCATCTCCACTTAAAATGCTGCTGTCTTTTGATGCTCTCATTACCTCATTATCAAGTCCATCCACTTCTTCTGGAGCATTTATTGCATTCATCCACCCACGGTTCGCTCATTCATTCGCAAATGCATGAAGATCAGATATGCATCATGATGCATGCATGATGATGGGTATACTATATGATGAATGGGTATATGATGAAGATGATGATGCCTTCCCATCATCATGTAATTGCTTGATTGTTTATTTCATTCAAGTTGACTCCATCTATATTCATTTTCTCTTTGATAATTCCTGTGAACTCACTCGATTCGTTCATTGGTTCCCCCGCCCCGCGCTTAATTACCATCCACTCAATTCTTTCCACTCACTTTCTTTCTTTTTTTTTCTTTTTTTTTCCTTTGTTTTTTAACCTTTCAATGCACTGATGGACTCATCCCCTGATCAAGCGGAGTGAGAGGGAGGGAGGAGGGAGGAGGGAGGGAGGAGGGAGGGAGGGAGGGAGGGAGGGAAGGAGGACTTACCGTCAGGCTTCTACGCCACATTGTCGTGCCGAGCCGAGCCGGTCGCCGACCGGTACGTGGCGCCGCCTTCCCGGTCTTCTGTGTTGCCAGTTGCAGGGCACTCTTTCTCCTCCATGCCTTTCTCAAGCCGGCTCTGCGCGAAGCTTTACCTACAAAGGCTCCAACACGCCCGTACCACACCGGCATGCCTGCGCAACTCGTCTGTGATACTTCCTCCGCAGAGGATATATATGTATATATGCGTAATAAGGGATCCCGGTGTACTTCAGACCTAAACCAATCAGCTTCGAGCGCCAAATGCTGCCCATGTCATCATCATCAATCCGCTGCCCGTCTTCTCCCTCCTCTTCCAAATCCTCCCCCCTAACAGCCAACAACGTCTTTCGTAGTCCCCTTTACCTTCTTCCCTGCCGTCTGCTGTGGTCCCCCTATGCCAGATCTCTGTTCCAATCACCTGCCCCGCTTTACCGCGCAACACCGTCTCCGCTCAGAAGACCCTTTCCCCCGCAGTCCCCGCCCGCCTCCGCCCCCCCCCCTGCCCCCCGATGCCATTCCCGAGGGCACCAAGAAAATATCCAACCCCCGTCGAAACACTCGAAAAACGTGGAGATCCGATCCACGCACTTCTCAGAGGAGCTCCATTGCAATAAAACCTTCCTCCCGCCCCAAAAAAAACTCGTCATAGGGCCTCGCTCCACTACGCTCCACATGCACAAAAGACAAAAAATATGGCGGTGCATCTTTCCATGTTCTTGCAGAAGATTCATTCTCATTTTGCACATTTGGAGAGTAGTGGAGCGAGGCCCGTAAGCTCGAACCGCATACCCACGCCAGTCAGAAGCAGTCTTTGCTGACCTGACCTGACCTGACCTGACCTGACCTGACACACTCCCCTCCCCACCCTGGAGTGAAGGGAGCCCGCCCCTCACCTGCGCGGGCTTGGTAGACACTGCGCGCTCTTTCGAGTGAATGAATAGTCCACATGCGTGATGGATGCATGATATGTACCACAACCCGGAAACGGCAGCATACCGCATGTCATGACGTCAATCGGCTCGCCGGAGACACACAGATGAAAAGACCACGCGTGTGCAGGGAAAGCCCCGACAATGCAATGGAAGGACGACTCGCAGACAACCGATTCCCCTTCACCTTCCGCGTTAGACTCCTCCCCCAGATCCCCCTCGCATCCCTGATCCCGCCCCCCTCCTCTCCCCCGTCTCCATCTGCTCTTCCTCTTCCACCTCGGTTCATTTTGCCTCCTCATATCACTTCCCGCGCTGCCATGAGAGAGGCAAAAGAGCGCAACTTATCGCCCAGCCCCTACTTAGTGAAGTACTCATAGCACTATGTCAACGTCCGGCCCTGCGATATCTGATCTGGCTAGCACAGCGTGAAGAAAGACGGCGCCAGGTCAAGCTCGGGTCGTTCCACGTCTCGCCGTTTTTCCATCCAAGGCCCCCAGTGGGTGTAAGGTGTGTGGTCCCCACCACCGCAGGACGACCGCAGGCTCGCGACCATCCAAACACTGACATACACCAACAAAACAAAGAACCCACGCTACACACACACACACACACACACACACACACATGTCTATAAGAGACAGCCAGAACAGTGTATGATTTGACAAACCTCGCAAGANACACACACACACACACACACACACAGAGAGAGAGAGAGAGAGAGAGAGAGAGAGAGAGAGAGAGAGAGAGAGAGAGAGAGAGAGAGAGAGATGGCGATGTGTGCCGATGGGGTGTCTGGAGCTGCAGCGGGACAACAGGGGGGCGGGGACGGAAGGAAGGAGAGACAAAGAGGGAGGGAGGGAGGGGCATTTATTATTTATTAGGGAGAAGAAGCACGGGAAGAAGCGAGAGCACGGTGGACACGGGCAAGGACGAGGAGAACTGAGTGGCAAAAATGGGCTATTCATCGTCTCTCCGCCGGCCAGCTGAGCCCACACACGGCCTCTATGGTGGGATTGATCATGACGACCCTCCTGTTTGGCAGTTTCCGTTGGAGAATCGAACCCACGTCCCCCTGCACAGAATCGCACTTGCTGATATCGATACTCTTAAGTCTCTTGCAGTTGGTTACAAGCAGCTTCAATCCCTCAACCGTGAGGCTGGTGCACCCGGCGAAGGTCACGTGTTCGAGGGTGGGGCATGCCGCGCCCATCTCCCCGCACAGCTGATCCGTCATGCCGCGGTAATTCTTCACACCGAAGCGGACCAGCTTCGGGCAAGCGCGGAGAAAGTGGAACATCTCGGCGCGCAGATCACTGAAGACCCAGTTGGGGTCCGCGACCAGCGAGACGCCTCGCAGCGACTGATGCAGCATAGCAAGACTGCGAAAGAGTGGCGCCGACCGGTAGGTGGCTGTGCAGGAAGATTGACCTCCACTCCCCGCTACCTCCCGCTCGCCGGTCGCCGTCGTCCACCGCGCCCACGTCCGATTGCGACTCGGGCAATCGACATCCATGGCGGCGGCGCCCCCGCCTCCGCCTCCGGCCCTGCTCTCGGAGGAGGCGGAGAGATCGAATAGGCGGAGCGTCAGCTCGCACAGCCGCGGACACCTGCTGAACAGTTGATGAAGGTCGGCCAGAGTCAGCATGGAAGGCACGCAGGAGGTCTCGTAGACGCCGTACAACCACAGACCGGTCAGATTGCTGCAACCGCTGCGCGCGATCACGCCCAACGACCGGTCCGTCGTCAAACACCTCTTCAGGCAGAGCTGCTTCATCTCGCGGCAGTTCTCCACAATCTTTTCGACCGCATCGTCGGTGATCTTTGTGCACGTGGCAACTAGTCTCTGCAACTTCGGGCACCCGCTCGTTATTGCGAGCACGCCTGGATCCGACACAGAGGTCCAGGATATGTCGAGAGCTGTCAGCTGCGGACACGTGTCGGCCACTACCACTGCCTCCTCGTTTCCAAACCACTCGTTCCAGCCCACGACCAGCTCGGTCAGATTCAGCGAGCGCCCGAGGTCTTCGATTACGGAGATCCCCAGCGGATCCACGAGGTTAAGGACGAGGGAGGCCAGCTGCGGAAGGGCGGCGCCGCCCTCGGATGCCAGAAGAGCGATTGCCTCCTCCTCTAGCGCGCAGTTGGCAAGGTTCAGCGCGCGGAGATCGGGGCAATTGCGCACCAGGGAGCGCAGCACGTGCACAGACTCCTCCGGCCGTAATAGACATCCCTCCAGATTGATGCTCGTGAGATAATGACAGTTCTCGAGTACAGCGCAGATGCCGCCACGTGTCACGCCGCAGCACTCGGCGATGTCCAGGTGCGTCAGCAGCGGAGCGAAAGCGCTCAGGCAG